ATCCCTGTAAAAAGCCGATAGATTATATTTTTGAGTATTCGCGAAAAATTTCCCCTAACGTGCCAACAATTAGCTGAGAAAACATTTTTATTATCATAATGAATAATCGCAATAAACTGATATCATTACTAATTAATTGATTATTCATCAAATATGTTCCATACACCATAATTTTAAGCAATATGATGAAATAAGTTAGCAGGCACGCAATGAATTTTGTCATCGTGTTCAATGCTCAATGTTCAGTGTTCAATTTTCAATTTTCTACTAAATAAGGCTATATTATTCACTAGTATATAGAATAAGACACAAATAGCGAAACGACAGTTGGCTAAGCGCATTTGAAAAAAAAGTAGGCGAAATAAAAATAACGCAGAAGAAAAAAATAAAAGGAAAGTATAAATAATGAGTTAAACTTGAAAATGAAAGCAAATCTATCGAAAAAAAAGATATCAAACAATAACCCAACTTATTAATTATTTTAATGAAAACTGATGGTGATTAAACCTTGAAAAATGAATAGTTCATCGTTTTATTTTTCCTCTAAATCGTTTGCCTTTCTATATCTTGTACGCATTTCACCCTGTCTTTATCTCTGTCTCTGGTTAAGTCTCTTATGCATTCAAGTCAAATTTAATTAAACGTATAACTGTCTAAACTTTAGAAGGCTATTTTATTGTCTACACGAGGAAGCAAGAAATAATCAACCTTATTTATTTATATCCAACATTTATGCCTAACATATTTATAAGGTATAGGCGAATAAATATGTCGGCCAGCGGATTCATTACTTAATTATGACTTTGATTAACTGATATCAGTCACTGGAAATTTATATATATATATATATATATATATATATATATATATATATATATTCCGTTAATCAATAATCGAATGTTTAGACATGCTGTCTATATGTGTATAGATATGCATACTTGTGTGTGTATGTATGTGTGTGTGTGTGTGTGTGTGTGTGTGTGTAAGTCGGTTTCATGTATGGATAAGACTTTAATACAGTCTAATGAAGATATGCGTAGTTTCGCACGGATTCTTGTTATGTACATGTATGATTAAACGCTTATTCTTGGTTCGATAACTAGGATAACCGCTTACCACCGATATGTGGACCTTTGGTCAAAAAAGAACCTGTAATTACCACTACTACTATTCACACTACCACTACTATTACTACTACTACTACTACTACTACTACTACTACTACTACTACGAACACTCACACTACCACCGGTACTACTGCTACTACTAATACTATCAAAGGAAGTAGCCGCTTTCACCTATTTAGACAGTACTGTTTCAACTACAGGCGGCACACACGAGGACGTCAAAGTCAGGATAGGAAAAGCAAGACAGGCTTTCATTAGCCTGAAACCAATGTGCAGATCTCCTGCACTCCACTCCACTCCACTCAGCATAAAGCGTGAACAACATCCGGATTTTCAACACCAATCCAGTCAATTGAGTCAGTGCTTCTGTATGGTTCAGAGACTTGGTACATTACGAAAGGGATTTCCAACAAACTGCATATATTCATCAACAACTGCCACCTACGCTGGCTCGTTACTGAAGACCAGATGAGAAGGCCAGAATAATAAGAATAAGCAACAAGGAGCTCTGGCTGTGCAATGAACCAACCAAGAACCTATCACTGAACAAATATGCATAAGGAAGTGGAGATGGCGATGGATTGGGCATACACTGAGAAGGCTGACTGGGGACATCACCCACCATGCCAGACACTCGAGTGGAACCCAGATGGGATGTGACGAGTTGTGTGTCCGAGGTGAGGGTGACATGGGGGAGACTGTGTTAGGAAGAAATGAGAAGTTGTGGGCTGTTGTGGAGCAGGGTTCAAAAGATTTCAGAGAAGAGAGTGTACTGGAGACGTGCTACTGAAGCTGTATATTCCATTAGGAACCCAAGGGACAAATAATAATAATGCGACTACTCGCACTACTACTACTACTACCAAAATAAAAAGGTTAACGGACGATACGCAAAAGTAGGGTTTTTCGTGTCAATTTGTACCTTAGAGATGAATTATTGTATCCTTCCCATGAAATACCAATTTATGCGATATGTTCATCACCATCTTCTTCTAGCTCGTCTTACTCTTTATACTGACATGTTATCCTCCCCGTTTTTTGGGACAGAAAAGTTATGCATCGCTCATAATTGCCTATGAATCCTTTCGGCCTCTCAGTGAGTACTACTTATATGGATTCTTACTAGTAGCACCCATTAGACTACTACTGCTCACACTAGTACTACCATTACCAGTTTTATTAATCTCCTTTTAGTATTACGAGAATTTTAATGATTGACATACGAATCACCTTACTACATTCAGTTATCTATGAGTTTCATCAATGTAGACGACTCATGGATTATATTTTTATTTTTAGATATAATGAAATTAGTCCTGATGACATAACAACAAGGTTCAGTGATTAGTATCTCAGGATAGAACGGTGAAACAACTTAGAATTTCATTTTCTTGATATTTCCCTACAGAGAAGACCTAATAGGTCTTTTAGAAGTTCAGCTTACAGGATACTGACTTGAAATGGATAGTATACTAATTTACAAAGTTGGTTACCATTGAGTATTGAAAATAAACCAAATTCATTTGTTAAGCAAGAAAATAAGAAAAATTTACAACGATGACACAATAGACTAAAAGTCGTCAAGCCTTTGAAAACTACTTAATCACAAGGCCTACCTTTCAAGATTCATCGAGAAAACATAAGGCCGAAACTGCAGTGAAAACGACTGCATTCTGTTCTTATTTGTGTATATCGAATACAAAAGGGACAATGCTATAAAACCATTGAAGAATCATCTTACAAAGGCAATCAGGAAAGCATTTTACATTGCTGGATTGAGGACGATATTTTCCATCCAAAGGTTGATTCAAAGTGGTGGTGAATGACACACTGACACTTCGGGAAACAACCACTTATGTCTTTTAGTTTACCTGCTCCTATAAACCTGCTTATGTAGGTCACAAACAGGGAAAATGTTCAAACTCATCTTAAAACAATAACCTTCTTGTTACTATTTATTGATATACTTTAACTCTTTGGATCGAATTGTTCAACCCATATTAACCAGGAATGTTAGTTACCAAAGAATAAACATAAAGGAAACGATGAACTGACCACTTCAAAACACACTTGAATCGACCAAAACCACCATCTGCAACTCGTCCAGAAATATCACAAGCAGCATAGTTACAGAATTATCAATGAATATAAACCCTCTGGTAACAGTAGAAATGAAGTGCAAAACGACAAGATGGAACTCCTTCAAAAGCACTGAAAACACACACACACAGACAACAGTGCCTGACATACGCACACAACTACTGCAGAATATCTGAGAGGAAAGAAGGAAGGAAAGATACCTGTCGGTTGTAAGAAGGACTACCTTGTCATACTCCCCAACAAGAGTGACCTAAATATTTCCAAGAACTAACGCGGATTCATGCTCCACCACTAGCAATCCCAAACAAAATATTGAACCACTTCATCCTGGAGAGACCTGAAAATCCCCGGATTCAAAATTACGACCAGAACAGGTTGGCTGGCTGGCTGACTGACTGACTGACTGACTTAGGAAAAACAGATCATGTGCGCATCAAATTGCAGTGCTACACTACACATCATCATAGAACACAGCATGGAATGGCAGTTAGCTCAACTCAACCTCAAATTCATCCTCTTTGAATAGGCCTTCGATCGAGGTGTCCACAGAGAAGTAATTTGACAGGCAGCCACTTCTACACTACGCTTTCAGTGCCACAAACCCTCATCGAACTCATTCAATAGCAGCTATATGCCATGAGAGGATGCTACATGCCAATTGATTCACAATGGAAAGTTGAGTGATGCGTTCGAAGTGAAGATTGTTTGACAGGTAAGACGAGGTCACCACCTACTATCACCGATGTTCTTCGTGAATGCGGTCAACTGGACTGGACTGGATCATGCACGAAACTGTGAAGAGAGAGAAGATCAGCAAACGCTGGAGCGATAAAAAGACCCTAGAAAATTTGCATTTCGTCAGTGGCGATTTATATCTAATGTCTTATGTCACACAGACTCGGTGATGTACAAGCGAAAACTAACAAGTTGACAGAAGAGAAGAGATGAGGCAGCGAAGACGACACTTCAAGTGAATGAAGAGAAGACAGAGGTGATGAAGATACCCAATTAACAACAATCACCAATCACCATCAACGGAAGGAATGTAAAGGAATTTGTCTCTCTCACCTACCTACCTAGGCCGCGTCGTTTCAACTGCAGATGGAGGCGGCACAAGCATAGATGAGGATGTCAAAGCCAACCAAGATGGGAAAAGCAAGATAGGCTTCCGTTTATTCATATGAAATCAGTGTGGAGATCTACTGCACTGCACTCAGCATAAAGCGCGGAGCAGTCAAAATCTGGGAGCAGTGGACACGTGTTTCGTCCTAGTATGGGACTTCTCAGCAGTGCACACCCGTGGCCTAGTCAGGTGTTGAACCCAAGAGCTTACATTCCAGAAACACGCTGGTTGTCATTACACCACTGAGTGAGAATCCAATGACTCATACTTTTTTACTACCGTTGGTTTACAATATAGTACGACCTAGGTAATATGGACTACTGGATTCCGATATATTGGTTAAATGGTAACGTCCTGGGTCTGATTCCTCAAAGGGTAGGGTCATGGGTACACGATGCTTAGGAATGCCATACTACGACTAAATAGCTGTGCAATACTTTCGAAGTGATATCAGTCCATGATGAATACCAACCTGAGTCCATCACTGAGTACCTGAGTACCTTCAAACTAGGATGAAAAAACTGTCTAGTGCTCACGGATTTTCAGTGGATCCCCTCCTGAGGTGAATAATTTGTTTTCGTGCTGCATAGAACTTTTCGTTCCTTGATTTGTTGGCTTAACGCCTATTGTATATGTTCATTGTTTTACAGATGGTGGTAATATCTGAAGTGGAACTTTGCGTATTGACACATAATCGTAATTTTTGGTATCAAATCTTCAGTCCACACTATGAATGGCTTGAAAAGTAAGTTTAACAAACTGATACTTTTTTCTTTTCAAAGTATATTCCATTTTATTGTTAAGAAAAAAATGTTTGTAGCTATCACTACTGACACTGAATGAGTAGTATTCTTCATTGTAAACTTAATTCTATCTCCATCTACCAACTAGTGGAGATATTTAACGTTTCGAGTATAAAAGTAAAACATAGAAACACTAGTTGAATACCGTTTCAGTAATGGTGGTGGCTAGCAGTGGAATCTAGGATGCGCATGTCATCCTATTCGGGACTCGTCAGCAGGATGTACCTCCTACCCACTGCGTGAAGTTGTTCATACCGGGATTCGGACTCGGGAGTGATCGTTTCAAACACCGGAGCATTATCCACTACACCACCGAGCCACGATAACCTCTTCTTGTGCTAGCTACTATCCATCATAAGAGCACAGGTAATATCGAGGTATCCGCACAGGATCCGATATGCTAATAGAGACCGATCAATTCGGTCCAATCAACGACGGTATAATATAAAAAAACAGTTATATTTACTAAATACCGTTTTGTTTGCTAAACGTTCTACACTTTTCAAAATTCATTCAAAGCACTTAAAGTCTGTGTTGGTATTTCAACAGTACTAACAGAGAGGTAGGCGATAAAATCTGTCAACGCAGGGAAAGTGTACACTAAAGGGTAATGGTAACAGTGATGACGGTATAAGTACCTATGATTGTGATAACAGTGTAAGTAGTGATGATAACAAAGACTTTCACGAGCCGTAAACTATCCTCCGCTTGCGCGAAAGATAGGCTACCTTGTCCGGTCACCTGTTCTTGTGTAGCGCGGTACATCAGCCTTAACCAGAAAATGCTTTCTGCATGTATACTAAAGTATGTTCCAGGTGACTCATTATAAAGTTGGGTACAGAGTCTGTTAGAGGTCCTATTCCAGAACACTTGATTGATTTGCATTCCTCAATAAACTCAGACGATGACTGACTTCAAAGCTGTTTATCGAAATTTGCTCAAAACTCCCATGTTTTCATCGTTGTCAACTCCTGCTTGAAACAGCGGAGGCCTTGGCTAACTACTCACTAGCTAAACAGTCCTTGATTGATCTTCAGGTACAAAAGAAGATGGTGGAGTCACCGTTTTTCTGGTGGTCATAACATTTCCTCGCCACGACAAGTTTTCCATTTTCCCTTTGCATCCTCCCTTTAATTACTCGTACTCTGAGTAGTTCCGATTGTTATTTCACTAAATCGTCTCAATCTTTCCAGTAAACATTGGTTTTATTGGAAACAATTTGTCTTATCCTCCTGGCGGTTTCACTATCTGAGATAGTCACAGTATGGCAGACTTGTATTATTGATACTGGGCGATAATTGAAGATGGCCTGACGAGGTATTTTACTTTTCAAGCAAACAGAGACTAGTTTAAGGCTGACAAAAGTCTATGTTATCATTTTTACTTCCACAGTTTGAAAATAAATTCCTTGTAGAGAGTATCTTAGCTGAATATACACTACTGTGAGTTATGGCTAACTCAAATGTTTCAAGGTGGATATCTTGAAGTTCTAATGAGCAACTGTGACCTCCAGGTCAACAAATCAGAAGTGGAGGGAATACCAAATAAAGAGATCTGTGTTATATCGCGAATCGGCAGAAGTAGGAAACTGTGGTCCATTGAACTACGACTAAGTGACTGAGCGGTTAACGCGTTATCCACGAGACCTAAAGATCCCGTTGTGCAAGAGGTGGTTCTCATGCCCCCCAGGGCCTGGTGGATAACCCTCAAGTGTTTGAAGTGACGGGTACTGGGTAATAGTCTTAGTAGGAACAACGTCACTCAATGGAGCGGAGGTACATCCAAATGACGATTCTCAAATGGAGAAAATGGATATCCTTAAATCCATTACTGGCCATCAAGTACAGCTGAAGAGTCCTATACTAAGACAAAACAGCTGTCAGATACTCGCAGGTTTCCAATGTTTCTCCAACTAACATCAGTCCATGATAAATAAAACCTTGGATAGTATGCTCATAATCTTACAACAGGGATCACCAGGTTACTGACAAAATCTGTCTTTGGCTTACGGTGTAAGAAGTTTGAAATCTGTCGATAGGATTACTTCAAATTTCATGTTTCCAAGATAGACTTTCTATATTTGTGAAAAGGCTTTCTAACTTGATGCTGAAACGTCCTTGAACTGAGAAAAAACAGAGGATTATTCGCTTCATTTCTTAGCTTACTCCCTGCGTAAGATATCTCAGTTGTGAGTGCAGCACTTGAAATAAAGAATCACCTAACTGTGCAGCTGAAGAAAGTCTTTTCACAGCCTAAAATTAGGAACTACAAGTTTGTTGTCTACTGAAATCATTACTATTATTATTACTATCGTCATTACTATTATTGTTATTTGTCCCTTGGGTCCTTAGTGGAACATACGGATTCAGTAGCACGTCTCCATCTAACTCCTTCTTCTGCAGTCTTCTCAACCTAGACCCACCACTCGGATTCTCTGTCGTACTAGTAGACGTTTCACTCTTTTACTTTGACATTTAACTTAGCTCACTTTGACTTAGATAAATTTAAATGGTTTGAAGTCTTAGTAATGATTCGAATGGGATGACTTCCTATGAGCACTAGTCCCTAAACTTGTTTCCCTTTACACGATTCTACTACTAATAGTGTAATAATGAACGATTTGAGAGAGAATTCAAAGGTGCCACTATGCCGTTACACAAAGAAGACACTTAAGAAGCATTACAGAAAATTTTCAGTAAGGTTGCCTGGGATAAGAGTGACATTTAAACCAACAAGCTCGCTTGGAAACAAGCTTTGTAGGTTAAAAGATCCTATCGATGTAATTAAGTATTATAATCTGGTTAAACCAAATCGCTTGCAATGATTGTGAGGTCAAATGCATAGGTGAAAGTAGTCGATTAGCCAGAGTCGATTAGAATAACAGAACACAAAAGTTTAGCTAAATCACGATGCGATAGAGGGATAGTATTAAAAACTAACAACTTAGTTAGGTGAAAGGAGGGAGAAATTGATAACCGACTGAATCTTTGTTTATCGACTCAACACCAAATATATTCAGCAATCGAAATGATTCTGCACCACTCTCACATATACGGAAAATTCTACTACCGTTGTCATAATAAGGAAGGGGAGGGAATCAGGACTGTATAAACTCTGTCTCAAAGTTGTGGAGTTGATCAATTGATATGAATATGGATGATAAATTGCGTCCAAAAAGTATGTTATCTAGTAAATGATACTGTTCCTTTACTGTGTGACATTTTTAATAAACAGACTAAAATGGTATTACAACCTACCACAGTGCCTAAATTTTACTGCTATGTACATAAATATCTCTGCAAGGATAGGTGATATTGGCGATCCCATGGGAAACCCTTCAGTTTGCCCATATATTGTATTTTGGAACTTAGTCGAGCTCATAGCATGATTTCCTCGACTAGATTCTCAGCTCAACAGAAAGAATTAAGCAGGTTGTTTGTTCTTACCTAAAAACAGCTCGTCTACACATATTGCCGTTTGTAATACCGTAATTACTAAGAGTGCTGAGATCTCGTAATTATTTCATTTGAAAGCATAGTACAAAGAGTGAACGCTATACTCTATGTCAGATACATTATCTGGAATATGGTGATTATCATTATTGCCTAGTTTGCTTTTCGATTGACCCCACTGAAGGACTTGGTAATCAACATCATACAAGTAAGCATTCATTTAAATTTTAGTGACTCAGCATCCTGTGTGTGTAGTTGAACACTATAAAATAAATAATTTGTCCTTTCCACCCTCAAAATTCCATTGAACTGGTGCTCACTGGTGACTATCTTCAAGAGGTACTCCCGAAGTTCCAATGAGAAGTAGTGACCGATGGGGACTAAGCCTGATGGTCGTCAGGACAGTTACTTAACGATTACATTGGGTGGTGGTTGCACTATATCATGAGCTAACAGAAGTTGGAAATATGGATGATTGGCTTCTGACTCAGTGGCTGGCTCAATGGTAACGTGTTGGGCACAGAACATGAAGGTCTCGGGTTCGATCCCTGGTGGTATGGGGTCGTGGGTGAGCACTGCTGCGGAGTCCCATACTAGTTGGATGAAACAGCTATCCAGTGCTCCCATGTTTCCTTAATTCCTCTAATTGATATCAGTCTACGATGAATAACAACTTGAAATATTCTGTTCTTTTTGTTTTCAACTCCCATTATGTAGAAAAAATTATCAAAGACATTTTGTCGAATCCTAAATTCAGGCAGACAACTAATTAGGCATACGAATTGTGCATTTTTCTATCGTATTTCAACAAAATGTATGGATATATATAACTTTTCGGAGCCTTCAACTTGCAATTCATTAAATGTTTCATTATTACGTAATAACTTTAATGGGAGGAAAGGGTTAAGACGGAAAATATGCAACGATCCGTTTTAATGATTTGTTAAGCTAAAATGCATTTATCATCTCTCTATCGGTGGATTTGCCTCTTTTTTAAAAGAACTGAGGATTAGTGAAGTCATGAGTAAAAGAGTTTAGAAATTCCAGTCTCAGTTATGACTAGGGGTAGTAGGTTTTCACGGGCGCATCTTGTTGAGGAGTCCAACACAAGGAAGAAACAGCTATCCAGTGTATCCAGGTTTCCAATAGTTCCCCAACTTATGTCATTCATTGCCAGACCACCCTTCCTCCTTCCTTATTCTTTCTCTCCTCCTCATCTCGTCTAATTTTCAGTGTCGGCTGGGAGTAGGTGGCAGCTATTCATGTATGATGTCTGTAGTTTGTTTCAAATGCTTTCCGTGACACGCCAAGTCTCTGAATGACCCACATAAAAGCATTGACTCATTTGGCTGAATTAGTGTTGAAAATCCGCATCTCGATCTTTATGCTGAGTGCACTGTAGTAGATCTTCACTTTAATGTTCAGTGAATGAAGGTTTGTCTTGGTGTCTTTCCGATGCAGGCTGCTTTTGACGCCCTCAAGTGTACCGC